TTCTTCATCGCCGCGCATCTTTCCGCTTCGAAAGAAGAGACTTGCAATTTTTACTTGAAAGATGCAATTACGTGCAGTAACGCCGAAAACTTCGCCCCGCGACGCGAGATAAAACTCTGAGATAGCTCCGTTATGCGCCCGCGCCTCGCCGCGACTTTATCGAAGGAAAGTGATATATCTGGATATCTCGCAAGGACACCGTTAACTTAAAGTTCGCCAGCGAGACACGTTAGGGGCGTGTCGCGCGACGTTAGGATACGCGACGGATCTCGACGAGAGCACGTGGCTACGCGATCGGAATTGCGCTCATCGTCGGTGAGTGTGTGTGTGTGTGTGTGCGCGCGCGTGTAAGGGAGGACGCGTAGCGGCGTGACGTCGTCGGCACGGCGTCGGCACGTATGCGGATCCGCTGGTAACATTGGTGCGGAAATCAGGTCACTCGTATCAAACCTGACCTACATACTGCTATCATCCGTACTATCGCTTTTGATAAAGCGTTTATTAACCGGGCGATTATGTGCTCGTGAAAGATTCACAACGAACGGCTCTGTTCGTCCTCTCTTTCTCCCGCTTTCCCTTTCTCCTTTCCTTCGGTCTGACATTAAACGATACTGCCGCCAAGCGGTATTGGATAAATATACCTCCAAATGACGCATCCCGCAGCTACATGGAATTCTCAGTTCGCCCGTTCAGTTTCAGTAATCCGTGTCATCTCTTTCGCGGTGTCTCAACTCTACGATGTTAACTCTGTCTCTCTCTCTTTCTCTCTTCCTATATTGTCGCGGGATTCGCTCATACTCTTCTTCCACGAGGAATTATTTCACTCGAATTTGTCAGGGGTATAATTTTTTAGGCAGGTCAATAGAAGAAGATTGAGAGACATTTTCGCTCGTTATTTTCTATTTCCTTTCGTCCGATTAATTACGATCAATCCCGCGAGACCCCGTCGTCTAATGATAACTAATGATAACTACTTTAAAGTCACCCATGCTTAATGTCCTTTTTTACCCTGAGGGGTAATTCAAGGTTAAATCCCGAGGGAAATCCGTGTCTCCCTACTCCTTCCGTCTTCCACCTCCCTCTTGCTTATCGTACAGCCCCCTCCCCTCCTCCCTCCGCATTCGATTTCGAATCGTTCGACGATTAAGAGCGCCCATCGATTTAATTCCTTTTTACTTATCCTTCACCTGCCTTCGCGCTCTGACGGCCGGGATGGTAATAATAATTCAGGGTAAAAACGCCCTCTTTCCCAACGCCGCGCTAAAAATAACGGGCAACAAACGACGCGGCTGACCTCGTCTTGGCCACCGTCCTTCCTCGATGCTCCGAACTCTTTCATTTGATCCAGTTGCACATCCGCCCTCGCCGATTCTCAGCCGTGCGGTCGCGCGCGCGCTTTTCGATGCAACGCCTATTTCTCGCAATTACGCAATAATCTTTAATCACGCAGTATCATTATTATCGTCTTATTACGTGGCCGCGGCTAGTTAACTTATCTATATCTCGCGTCAATAAATAGCGACTCGCGCGCACATTTGCCCGGCGAATTCCCGCCGGTGATCAATTATCAGAAATCCTTTTGACAAAATTCCGCGCGCAATACGGGAGAATGGGAGAATTTTGTGGGCACGACCAAGAAATCAAATTACATCTGGTGGTGTCGTGATTCTGGTCGGAGGCATCCTTGACCCGGAATTTCGCAATTTGCATATCCCAAGCGACCTAAAATAGAACAGGCATTTTCGTCGTTCCGACCTCGTCGGAATTGCCGATGAATTTCGCTTTCCCGTTGTTGGGAATTATCGCTTTATTATTAACGTGTCGTGCATACGTACCTCCTACATCGCGAGAAGGGATAACTTACAGCGCGAGAGAACCGCGTGTCGTCCTTCGTTTTATCGAAATGACGAAAAGAACGAGTTCTATATATATATATATATATATATATATATATATAATTTTTTTCCGAGAAAGCAGAGGGAGAGATTGACGTTCCGGATTAACGATTCATTTGAAACGCAAAGCGCAGCGGCTCCGTTCGTACGCGAAAATTGGCACGCGCGGGAGACTGGCACGGGCAAGGCTTTTAGCAGCCACTCGCGCTCCCGAGCGAAAGTGCAAGCGAGAGTGTCGGTAATCGCGACGCGCGACGCGGCGCGAGGAAGAGAGAGTCGCCCGCGGCTTACCTCACTCGCTTACGAGTCGAGTGGAGCGAGTGCACGCGTCTCTTTCGCGTAACCGCTCGACGTAACAGCCGTAACTAGTACCATTGCCAACGAAAGCCGACGCGGAAAGTAAAAGCGGATGAGCCACTTCTCGAGCGAGCGAGCGAGCGCTCTCTCGCGCTGCCGCCGCGGCGAGAGAAACGAGGAGAGAGAGAGAGAGAGAGAGAGAGAATGGAATTACGTTGATAGCGCGCGGAACAGGCTGGAGAACGAGAGCGAAAGGCTTTCGCCCATTCATCGGCTCGGCGGGCTCGGTCGGGCTGAATCGAGAGAAAGAGGGAGAGAGAGAGAAAGGTGGCTATATCGAACGCTGCCTAGAGCTACAGGGAGACACGCGACGCGCTATTTCTGATCGAGAGGCGTGAGAGAGACGACCGTGACGGTCGTCGGAATTACGAACGCGTTCGTTTCACACTGCCGAGAGCGGCAATCTCGTTTCGACTGGCAATGACGATTCGCAGCCAAACCGTGCGCGCGACTCGTCTTCCGTCTAGAGCGCGACGCCGATGTAATTAGTGACGAGCAACGATACCGCCGACGACTGCTACGTCACCTCGCAAAATCGTCAGGCATTTGCGTCAGGTGCCACCACCCGTCGTCGTCGTCAGTGCGATGGACCCGTTTGGCACGTTTGGCACGTGCCGCTCTGCCTCGTGCTTTCGCGCGCGAGATCCCCTATTGTCTCGTTCCGGATCGATTCCGGCCGTTCGGCGGCGTTAATCGCCGCGCATCGCCGTCGGGGCGTGTCTTAAACTCCGTGAAAATCCGAAAAATCTCATTTCCATCGGCACCGTAATGAATTCGATTGAAATCGACGAGCACGCGAAGCCGACTCCGGTTGTACGATACGGCGAACGTTTGTCCCACGAACGTCGGCGGAAAAAATCCATAACGAAAACAAGGATAATTAAGGGATTCGTACGCACGATATGATCGATGTCACACGTTGGCCAACGCCGCCGCGGCGGTGCACGCTTGTCGTCATGTCGCGTGGAAGCCGGCTCGAATGCGACACTGTTGCTCTTGGCATCGATTAGGACCGGTGCAACTGGGCCCGTATTTTCCCACCCCTGTTTTTCTCAGGTTACTTTTTTTGTCTTCTTCCTTTCGGCTCTTTTTTTTGTTCTCTCTCTTCTCACGAGACACACGCACGCTCGCACGACGCACGCGGTGCGTCGAGCAAAAGTCCTACCCGCGCTAAAATTGCAGCCCTCGCGCGAATACGTAAAGTTTCGAGGCATGTGCACACGCGCGCGTCGAGCTCGTTCCGTCTGGCTCGGCCGGAATTATTTCTCGAAGGAAATTACCGGTCATTACAGTCGCCGATCATTATTATCGGCCTTACCTTTCGCAGAGCCGCGCTCTCGGCGTGCTCGATTCTCCTTCCGACCTTGAGAGCATCATCCCGTGCTCCCGCGGGAGGACCGCGATGTTGCAGTCGCATTGACAGTCGCGCATTCCCTCGCTGTGAAAATAATAAGAGAAACGATCTGGATCTCGGTAGACCTATTCTGTAACTTTTAATGACAGTGTCGCTGTCGTTACGACGTCGTTTCCTCGCGCAGCATCTCCACCATATATTTTAATCTGCATAACAACAAGTCAACGAGAACGACACTCGTCGTTGGGAATTATAGAGTAAACCCGCCGTCGAGATCCTCGTCGATCATCGGTTCTCGCGATCGACTCGACCGCTGAATGTGCACGAAAGCGTATACAAAGAAACGTTTCTTATGTTTCGACCGCTCGATATGCAGTTTGAGGCAATAGCTACTACCGCTTTGAACATTTTCAAAAATATTTCATTAGCAACCGAATGAAAATGAAACAAAATTTGCATTTGTAGATGTTTCGAAATGGTGTCAATTTTTGTTTGATTAATTTTTCTCCCATTTTCATATTTCGAATATACTCAAGGCGGTAGTGGTTACAGCTTCATCTTGTATATTTAATGTATTCAAAGCCCGTGGAAATTCGCAAGAGTTGTCGTAAATTCTTAAATCCTCCCTCGTTGGTGTCAAACTGATTTAAGATCATTGATCCATCTTCATATATAATAGAAAGCAAATCCGTGTCGTCGACAATGGAGTCTCCTCTTTTTTTTTTTCTTTCAACGCATTTGTTTGCCCATAATACAACAACATACATACTCACGACTCTCCGTAACTTTTGAATTGTCGGTAATTTTTTATCCCCTTTTCGGAAGGGACGCAACGCGGAGGGTCTTAGTCGGAAGGTGTGGGGGAGGGGGAGGGGGAACGTGTTACGATACAAAAGTTTCACAACGCGAGCTTCTGCCCAGTTTCATCTCATTTCGTTGTTGACTGCGCGTTGACTTTTGGGACCGTTTCTCTTCTCTTTTGTAATCTACGTTCTCAAAATATTGACAGTCACCCCTTGATTTACAGCTATTCATTGAAACACGAGGGTTGCAGCGTGCATTCTAAGAGCGAACGGTTCAAATAGCGGAACGAATTACCCGTTATAATTTTCCATTCACAAACTCGAAAATACTACGCTCCCGAGACTTTGTTCGGATTTCCGTAAATTAAATCTCGTTCTACGGAAACTACGGTGTTACACGATTTGTTCCGGCGTTAGCATGATGAACCAGTTATAGCATCCGCTGCATCAGACTGCTGCAGACCCCATATATAACGGTTGCCTCTTTTCTGTTTCATATCGCAAAGCGCATATTTTCGCACGAAAAACCTGTGTTTCTTCTCCGAGTTCCCGATCCGAATTTTCCGACATCGTCGATTGACGTTTTCACAGATTTTACGATCGAGGATTCGCGGGTGGACTCGAGTGGCTTCCGGCGATGCGACTCACGATGCGTCAATCTGAGGGAAATGAACGTTCGCAGAACGTGTATTTCTGAGCAAGATTCCGTTCTCTGACACGTAGTTACAGCGGGGCCGATTGTAAATAACAAAGAGAAAACAAGAGAATACTTTCTTACACATTTCGACCACAAGCTTTTATTTTCCATATTGACAAGCCTGCGAACCGAGTAAATCATTGCTCAGTTTGGTCAGAATCTAACGGAAGCTGCCTTTAAACCGCTGCCTGCGGACACATGTGTGTACTCAATGAACGGTTGGTTACAATCTGCGGGTTAATTTATCTTTGTTTGTTACTTGGACCGTATCTTCCGACACGACCACGCGCAATAACTTAAACTCGACACTTAAACAAAGTCTCGAATGCAACGAATTGCCGTTACTACTGCCGACTGCGTTTTAGCCACAAAGGCATTTTAAGGGTCAGTTTTACCAAGCTGTCCCTCCTGACGACGCAGATGGTAATTATTTCACACAGTCCCTTTGTTCTTCTTCCTACTTTCATTCCTCTTTCCCCGATTTTCATGCTATCGATAAATAACTTCCAATTCCCCGAGAGGGGATTCCGACCCTTCCCGAGAACGGTCGGGAACGAATGAAATTCAGTCCGAGCGCTCCAACACGTGCGCCAGATGTACGGTAATAAAGTATAGAAAACACGGAGAGAACGTCAGATATGCGTGCGCTTGTCTCTGAAGCCGTCGTGTGTGCACATCACCGAGGAAGAATAGAATATCGTCGCGGCGTTCGCGTGTTCTCGCGACGACGGTATGAGAAACTCTCTCGAGTTCCAGAACGATCCCCTCCCACCCCCGCGCGCACTTACGTTTCTCTTTCTTGCGCTCTTCTCCTCTCTCGCTAATCGCGCATGCATAATAACGTAATCACGCGCCCGCGGTATCCCTCGGTGTGCACGACGCCTGTCGATGCGTCGCGGTGCGGCATAGACACACCACCACCACCGATCGCGCATGGTCTCGCGGGTACCCTATGTGGGTAAATGTGTCAAGGACGTGCGAACTGGCCTGCAAAACGGCGATCCGTGTTTTGTGGATGAAACATTCCCTCCCTCCTTCTCTCTCTCTCTCTCGCGTCGCTCTTACCCGACAAAGAGAGAACGGCAATTTTTGCGAAATCTTCGTTGCAGAGTACGGATCGATCGACCTGGGAAATATAGGTCAGGCGTCAGGGGAATCGAGCTTTTTCGGCAAACGATTCACCGATCCCTTATCGCGCCGGTATCGTATCTAAGTGCAAGTTCGGATCCGTGTTTCAGCCTAAAGCTTTGCGGATTCCTCTCGGTGTCTCATTATCGTCGCTTGATTCGCCGAGGAGACACCCGGATTTCTATTTCGGACGGCACGCAAGTAAGTGAGACGCGAACCGATCGAATCGTGCGAAAGTCGTCGCTAAATATTGCGACGCTCGCGGAATAGTCCATCGTCACGGCACGGCGAGAGGAAAAGAAGCTTTGTCACCTTGTTATTTATAACTTTTCTCTCGGGCACTCGCGGATATTGCGGATCGGGGAGCCGCGCGCGAGCCGACCGGATTTTCGTTAAACCGGACAAAGAAGACCCTTGTGACGCGGCGCAGAAATATGCATTACGGGTGATACAGCGCGTAACACAGGCACAATCGGTTAGATTTTACTTTTAGTTTCGAAAATGGGATTGCGAGGTGGGGGTGGGCCTTGGCACACTTCACACACCGAGACACACTGTGCGCTGCGCGAGAGAGCGAGCGAGCGAGAGTGAGAGCGAGAATGACAGTGAGAGAGAGACGCGCACATAGTAATACGCTCATATTCCTTGCGACGAATATTACAAGCTATGATTCCGAACCAGCACAGCCAAGGAATAATCGCATCGCGACGCACGGCGTCCGTTGAAACGAGCGCTGTTATCGTAATCGTTCTCTCTCTCTCTCTCTCTCTCTCTGTTCTTTCGCGCTAATAACGCGTACAACCTTGTAATCGGCTCAACCCGCGTCCCGCCTCGTCGTATAATCCTCTCTCCTCTTCCCATCTTTTATTTTATGCACGCTCGGGGAATAAAACGAATCGAGATCGATCTCGCAAGCGTGTGGCAACGTGTGTCGGGGAGCGGTGTTAGGAAGCGGGCGAGCTTCGAATTTTCCCGCACTCCGTTCTCCGGGGGTGTTTTTTCCCCTCCCCACCAAATTGCACGGAATTACAACCGCTGTCTGAGGGTCGACACGCCGCCGACGGCTCGCGCATCCGTCCGCCCGCGAAGCATTTAAAGGATCACCGCGATGCTAATTGACCCAGAAATAGCGTAATACCGATAATGGTCGCATAATTTCAGCGTATACGGGTAAAGGACTCTCCGCGCGCTCTCCGCAGCCTTGTGTATGTCGTGTCGTCGTTATCGTCAGCGCCGCCGTCGTCGTGGAACGAGTTTGCGTTTCGAATCGCGGAATAAAAACGGAGGCACAAAGAGAGAACGAGACTTGGTTGGAAGACGGTGGGAGAAAGGGGAAAAAAGGGAAGTAGCGCGCGTCGCCGTCAGCCGTATTTTCGACGGGGCGATTCACGACGACGATGATCTAACCCATCGTGTCGTCCGTCTACGATTATTCTTCCCCGTGCTGATAATCGTCCGCGAAAACGCGCGTCGCGATCGGACGCGCATTCGCAAGTCGGTGGTGCCGAGCCTCCTCTCCGCCGACACGCCCGAGTCGGCCGTGTCGGCGGCGCGCTAAACGATATTATCATTAATTGGAGCGTATAATTGGACCGTGTTACGTAACGCAGCGATAATGCCGAACGCGACTACTTTTTCCTCCTTTTTCGCAAAGCGCGATAAAACTTATTTCGGAACTCGAGTTTCCTTTTTTTTTTTTTCTTTCCTTCCTCTTCTCTTATATTAACTCCGACTCCGTAATGCGTATTCCGCGCGTTGCGCAACCGCGTCTCGCAATCGTCCCGAAAACGCTCGACGACGACGCCCGACGAAAGTAAGCGAGCCGCGACGACGATCCTCGTGGAATTTTCACCGCCGGCTTCTAGATGTCTCGTCGAATACATTCCGTATTATCTCGCTGCGATAAAACATCACCCGCGTCTCCATCGACGACGGATGATGATGAGGCGCGCGCGCGCGCTGATACGCGACTGCCAAATGCGGCGGTGCGCCCGTCGACTTTACACTTTAAAAGTTTCTGGGTCGAGGCTTTCACTTTCTTTCATTCGTTCCTTCTTCCGTTCTTTCGAGGCGTTCCGTGCGCCGCTTCTCGCACGGCTTCTCGCTCCGCGCCGCCATCGAGACCCTTTTCGCTTTCGTTTGACCCTTTTTCCAGCGGCGGTTTCGCCACCGAACCAGCCGCGACAATTCTTATTCCACCTGCGTCCTGCGCCGGTACACGCACCACCAACACGGACTCTTCCGCCGTAGACGCTATCCGGTAGAAATAATGCTGAGCGGTACGTACACGCGTGTGTATTCACTTCCGATCCGAACAAAAGACACCGCTCCGCGCTGTGTTTAGAAGCGCGCGCGGTGCACAATGAGAGACGGAAGTCGGATCGATCGTGTTTCTTTTTTTTTTTTTCCAGCGGGATTCGCGCGATCCTCGCCCCGATTTTTCCATCGACATTTCCGGGCATCACGTGCGGAGGAGAGATAGAGAGAGCAGATTTTCCGTCTCTCGGGGATTCTCAACGCCGTCGGCGTTATCCGCTCGTCGCCTTTCGCGGCACGCTTCGATGATTTTAGCGGAAGAGCGCGCGTGCGTTTCGCGAGCGCGCTCTTCTTCGTTTCTCTCCTCATCGTTGATTAATAAATTAACCCACGCGATGCGACCCACGCCACTCTCATCTTCGCTCGTGTATACTGATATTTCCATCGTGCATCGAGCATCGTGCCATTTGCTATCGATCGCACTATGCCGGGATCTCCGCCAGGCTCCACCTTTCTATCGCCGTCAAGGCTCACCAATTATGAACAATCTTCAGACTGAGCGTTTTTTTTTTCTTTTTTTTTTTTTACAAAAGTTTGCCGAGACTTTTCACACGAGTAAACTCCTTGTCGCATCCTCGCGGCGCCGAGATGGCCGCGATAAGGTTGCCCAACGCGCGGGCATTTAGTTAGAAGGTGCGTTACGAATTTCCGGCTGTTGCCCGCAAAAGCGGGGACCTCTCTCGTTAAAGTCCGTTTGTCCGACGGGCACTTCCGGTCGGGAATCTCTTCCGAGAGCGATTGTAAAAATTCTGACTTGAGGCGTCGAGCGCGAACGCGCCGCTGTAACGCTCAAGCTCGCAAACCAGTGCACCCGATGCGATGACAACGATGGTGACATACGCTTGCGATACTCGCTGCGACGGTGTATTCATCGACGCACGTGCGCGCGCGCGCGCTCGCTCGTGCGTGCGTGCATGTGTGTACACGTGTGTTACGGCAGGAATGCTCGGTCACTTATACGGGAAAGAGTGTGAGACTACCGACTGAATAAATGAGTCGTTTGGATGAGTGACCGGGGAGGGGGGGGGGAGGGCAAGAGGCAGTGTGCGAGGAAGAGAGAAAGTGAGAGTGTGCGATCTCTCAAGAGCGAGAGGAACGGCGAAAGAAAGAAGGAGAGAGAAAGAGACAGAGAGAAAAAGAGAGAGAAAACACCGCGCGCGCGGCTTTTCGCGAGGAGTACGCGAGCGGAGAAGGCGCAGGCAACGACGGAGAGCGGCAGGGAGGGAGNCGGAGGAAGACGGAACGCGCGTGGAAGGTAAGGACAGGGTCTGCGAGCGAGACGGCGATATACGCGGCGGTGGAGCGCGAGAGCAGGACAAGGTAAAGCGAGAGGAAGGAGAGGAGGAGGAGGAGGTAACACGGAACGGAGGGCGGGAGAGGGAGCGAAACGGGCGGGCAGAGATAGAGAGAGGTGTATACAACGAGAGGGAGCGAGTTGCGCGCGGCTGCGTCATGTTCTCAACGAACTGGGTCAGTAGGTCTCCCCACCGCGCTCTGCGTCGCACATCTACCGGCACGTATACACACAGGCGGGCGCTAGTGCACCGTCGGGGAGTGCCAACGGCGTTACTGTTGACCCAGCCGAGGCGCTCGTACGTAGCCCGTGTGACGCTTCCACCAGCCGCCGCTGCGCTTCTTGCCCGCCGATATACACCCGCCGGCGTCTCTCTCCCGTGCACTTTGAAAGCAAGAGTCACTCTTGGCGCGCGCGCGATCACTGCTTCTCTCTCTCTCTCTCTCTCTCTCTCTTACACACACACTCTTTCTGTATCTCTCTCTCTCTCTCTCTCGTTCTCCGCCTTTCGCCCGCGCGCCTCGACTCCGGCAGAAGAAGCAGTGAGTCGAAAAGAAGAGAGAGAAAAAAAAGAAGAGGCTCGAGTCCTGGCCGATACGTCGTCGTCGGGAGCGTCTTACGTCACTCTCGCAGGACCGGTCGCTTTCTCGTCGTTCGGCGTGACCGCCGCATATTTTGCCGATCGCCCGAAAACTCCCTCGTCTTCTCTCCTTGCTCTCTATCGTTTCATTCGCAACGTCGGCGAGCATTCTCGAGATTCGTTCTCTCGCTCGCGCATCGCCGAAGATCCACCGGTGTTGTGTCAGGGTGGTGACAGCGGGTGCGTTTCCAAACGTGGTACGGTGGTAGACGCGAATCGTCAACGTGTAACGTCCGACGGGCAGAGCGTGCGCGCGAGCGACGCGTCACAAGCCGACGACGCGCTCGTGTACGCGCTCGCGGACAATATTTCTCCGGCCGACATAGACCTGGTTCCGTAAGTAGGTCATCCCCCGCCACCTCGGTCGCGCAACCTCCTTCTCGCCGGCCCCTCCACCGGAGTACCTTCGACCGCGGCAATACCGCCCGCTCTCGCTCCTGTCCCCTCCCCTCCCCCTCTTCACCGCAACCGCGTGCTACTCCCCCCCTTCCGCGGAGCGGACCTCTCAGGCGGGCACCTCCACTCCGCGTCGGGTACCTGGCCGCGCGCGGTGGCATGCGCTGCTGAATCACTTTCACTTATGCCGTGCGCTGTGTTGGTTATACTCCGCGCGCGCGTCTCGCTCACTCGCTGCCATCGTCGGTGCCCTCTCTCTCTCTCTCTCTCTCCTCTTTCGCATTCTCTCACTCACTCACTCTACCTTTTATCTCTCTCTCTCTCTCTCGGCTCCAACGCAGCCCGCGTCGGTAAAGGGACACACGCGCGTTCTCTCCTCTATACCTACCGAAACGCCGAAGGAGCTTGACAGTAGCGCGCGCCTCGGCACCATTCTCCGCGCACAGTTTCGTTTAATTTCCCGAGCACCGTCCTTGTCGTCGTCGTTATCGTCGTAAAAACGTCACAGTGTGCGATCGTGGCAGCGCGCGCGCGCGCGGCGAAAGTCGCCGCATCGGATTTCGGCAAGTGCGCCCGTGCTTCTCGGCGTGCGGCGCCGCGTATTATCGCCGCGACGGGAGTGCGCGCGACGGAAGAGGACAACAGAGCGTGTCGTGGTCTCGTCGTCGTCGATCCGGCGTGCACCCGGACGTCGTCGGTTCGTGGCCCCGTCGTTGACAAACGTTGTTGCCGCGGCGATACGTCACACGTATGCCGTGTCCCGCGAAGGCGGTCTCTACCTACCTACCTACTCCATGTGCCGTCGGTAGGGCAGCGGAGGGGAGGGGGCGGGCCCTTCGGGAAAGCAACGAGCCGAGAAGACAACTAGTCGTACGCAGATAGGCGAGCTGTCAGGTCACGTGGCCCGGCTCCTTGTCGATCGCAAGCGCGCATCCACTCGCTTTGCTCTGCGCTTAGACCAGGCTCGCAGCTCGCTCTCACTGGTGGTGCGCGCGTTATCTGGATTGCAGTGCGGGGAAGAGTCTCGTCCGTCGTCCTCGTGTGTACTCTCTCACTCTCTCTCCCGAGTTGGCGACTCGTCCTTTTTTTTTTTTTTTTCTTGGACTCGTCTGTAGTACACATCCCCTGCGTTATCTGATACGCGTCTTGCGAGTTCGAGGTTATAGACAGACGACACTACGGGGGCTACGTCGTGAACGTGCGCGTGTGTGTGTGAGAGACGCGACGACGCGCGTGTTGTTGACAATCGCCGTGCACGGGCCGCGCGTGTCCGTCCATCTGTCCTGTCACTCGGTGCTACTCGCCGGTGATAATCGCGTATTCCTCCGCCTCCGTTCTCGCGGACGAACGTGTTAACCATACGCGCCACACCGCGTCCGCATTGTGCTCGACGACGACAGCAGCAGCAGCGACGTTGGATTGCAGTGTGAACGACAGGGAAAGGAGGTCTCAGATCTTTCTCTCTCTCTCTTTCTTTCTCTTTCTCTCTCTCTCTCTCTCTCTTTCTCTTTAGAAGGGTACTTACTGCTCCGCGGTGTGTCGTACGATTATCGCCGTTTTGACAGCGGCGAGTGTCACTTTCGCTCGAACGTCGTCGGCCGCCACCGCGATATCGACGACTCTGATCATGCCTCGAACGTAGTCGCGGGTGTGCGCGCGACTTCCCATTCGACGGGGCTCGTGTGGTAGCCCCCGCGTGTTCTGTCGGCAACGTGTACGCGCGCGTACGCGTTTTGGTGGGTGCGCGATGGTTTTCCTCGACAAATGTGTGCCAGAGAGCGTGACTGGTGATCGATAATCTACGTGGAACCAAGAGAGTGTGTATGTGTGTGCGTGCGTGCGTGTGTGGCCCCTCTCGTTACACGCTACTTTGTTCCTTCCTTCTCGGATTGTGCCCTTGATATATCGTCACCGTCGTCGTCGTCGTCGTCGACATCATCGTCGTCGTCGTCGTCGTCGCTTAGGTGTTCTGTCATCGGCGTCGTTGTCATCATCGGTAAAAAAGCGACGGTCCGCAGGATCGGAACGTCAACAACAGTGGGTCGGGCCGCGTTTCATGGACGGTTTTAACAGCACGGTAACGCAGCCGACGTACCGTTGCTGCGTCCTCGTCGATCGGCGATCGGAACGGCCGAGAGCGAAGCGACGTGACAGCACGAACGAGCGTACACGGACGACAGGGGAAGAGAGAACGGTGCTCTCGTGCCGTCGTCCTCCTCGTCGTCGACGTCGTCGTCGTCACCATCATCATCGTCATCATCATCATCATCATCATCATCATCATCAGCGGCCACATCCGGCAGCGTAACATAGTCGTTTCATGCATGCGCCGGTACGCGAGCACCACCACCACGTCCCTTCGTCGTGCGGTACTTGCGCAAGGGTGATATGTTATTGGAGATGGAGCAGCATTCGGCCTTGATGTCCCTGAACATGTCGCCGTTCCACTTGAGCCCGCAAGGCAGCCCGCAGGCCGCCGGGCAACAGCCTCCTCCTCCTCCGCAGCAGCAGCAGCCACAACAGCAACAACAGCCGCATTACGGCTCCCCCCCCCCCCCCCNAGCAGCAGCAGCCACAACAGCAACAACAGCCGCATTACGGCTCGTCACCTTACGGCAATTGCGCGCAGAACTCGCCGTCGCCCATGTGCCACTCGCAGCCCCAGTCGCAGCAGCAACAAATGTCCGCGCACAATCCGGCACAGTCGCAGGGCGGTATCTCGGGTTTCGAGGCCGCCTTCTTCGACTCCACCACCTCCCTCGAGGAGCGATGCCCGATGTGCGGCGACAAAATGTCCGGTTATCAGTACGGGCTGCTCACGTGCGAATCTTGCAAAGGTTTCTTCAAACGCAACAGTTCGCCGTGCAGCAGCAAGAGGGTTTACGCGTGCTTGTTTTCGCCCACGGGTGGCGGCGGCGGCGGTGGCGGCGGCGGCGGCGGCGGTGGTAGCAATAGTAACAACGGCGGCAACGGCGGTAACGGTATCTGCGGTGCGTCTTCGGCTCTCGAGAGCAACGCCTGCGGCAACAAGAAGGTGTACACGTGCTTGTTCTCGTCAACAGGAGCCGGAAGCAGCAACGGAGCCGGCGCGTCCACCGGTCTCGACGGCAACGGTGGCGGCGGTTACGCCGGCGGCAGCGGTGGTAGCGGCGGCGGGGCGAGCACTGCCGCCGGTGGCGGTGGACCCGGCGCGGCGGGCAATGCCGCCGGTGGGCCCGGCGCGGGAAGCGGCAACGTCGCGGTACCGACCGCCGGCGCCGGTACCCTCTGCCATCCTGGCTTGAGCCAGGTCGGTGTCGGCGTCGTGACCGGCTCGATACCGTGCCCGTCCGACTTCCCCGACACGAAGGACATCGTCATCGAAGAGCTGTGTCCGGTGTGCGGGGACAAAGTGTCCGGCTATCACTACGGACTGCTCACCTGCGAGTCCTGCAAGGGCTTCTTCAAGCGCACCGTCCAGAACAAGAAGGTGTACACGTGCGTCGCCGAGCGGTCCTGTCACATCGACAAGACGCAGCGCAAGCGGTGTCCCTTCTGTCGCTTCCAGAAATGCCTCGACGTCGGCATGAAGCTCGAGGGTGAGTCTCATTCACTAAGTGAATTCATTTACCTTAGCATTTTAGTCGCGCGCGCCGAGTCCACCGGTGGACGACGACTTTTCTTCCCGTCGGCGAGAACTGTCCCGGATTGCGTCGCGCCCGTATTTGGCCCGCGGACCTCTCCGAACTACCACGATGACGACGACCCACGTGTCGCGGAGTCGCAGCGTACGGTTGGAGATGCTAATTTATGTAAAGTGTCGAGAGGATCGTTTGAAACCGAGGGAAAAGTCCACGTTGAAAGCGTCTTTACGCAGGCGCGCGCTCGGGGAAAGATTATGACCGCGGCGCGACGGTACTATAAAGTGCATTTGTCTGTTACACAAAGATACCGGCGGTGAAAAACGCTTCGTTGTGTTTATATCAGTTTGCGTTTCCAATGTGAGGAGGGGGGGGGG